TTGAATTTTCTTCCAAAATAAATACGTAAAATAATAAATATAGTTTAAAGTATGAGGTAGGATTCCAGTTTTACCTTGTAGTCCTTCTTAATGCCGCCAACTAGCAATCCTTGCATTACTCTGTTCCGGTCTGAATGTTGTAGAGCCGTATACCTAATTACAGGATGTGAAGCATTTTATCGTATTCCTCTGATTTTTTTATATAATAAGGGTGACCATGATAACTATATTTATCCCTGATTAAGAATAAAAAATTAGATTTTACTCCTGACAACTAAGATGGAAATACCTACCTCGTACATATCCAGTAAAATGTTCTCCAGTTTTCTACACTCACCATAAGAATCACGACAGCCTTAATCTGCTATTTTATGTTTTTGGTTCTGCCCCGTTCCATCCAACCTAATCGTGCAACATCCATCATACAACTGCAGCATGGCTCCACCATGTATAACAAGGTGACAACTCATCTGTAGGTTTCCTTACTTGAAGTTAACTGCAGGTGTCGATGGACAGTAGTAACTTTTTACCATCAATTGAACGGTAAGTTTGTTAGTTACTTCAATTATTTAAAAGAAAACGTCAGAAAAAACTAGATCTCGTTGTTTAATAAATATAATGCTCTAGAAGGGTAATGAATCAATAACAGGCTCGTCTAAAATTCTCTGTAGTCAAGAAAGTTTATTTAATCCAAGGCCCTCGTCCGGTGGAAAATGTAAGTGACAGCTTTCATGATCCTTCATTTCCCCAGAAACATAAATGTCCTTATTCATAAACGATGACCAATAAGGAATTATTTATGATTTATAATAACATAAATAATAACTGGCCTATGAGTAACTAACCTATGAGATAATATTATAAGGGGACCACTAAATAAATTACATATATTTATAGTATATATGTAATTTATTTATAGTATATATTTATAGTATATTTCTATACATTTAAACAGAAAATCAAATTTATTGGATTAAGCATTAATGCTCCAAGTAACGCCATCTATGAAAATATATGCGAACTATTTTCCAGAATGACGTCCTCTAGGTTCTGACGTCGGTCATCACCTTGACAGGTGATAAGGAGGACAGAGTGTGTGAGCAAGACAGAACAACAACAAATGCTGTTTCCATCGATTCTGAGGTCAAGCGGCGCGCACCGCGCATGTCAAGTGTAGGTATAAAGAGCAGAGGACATTGGCTTGGCGTTTTCTTGATAACGTTACATTTTGCAAATGATTTAATTTTGATGTAGATACAAAAGATATTTATTTTAGAAAATGAATATATAATCTTACATATTCTGTAGTATTTATGCGTATGTATATTTCTAGTGTTAATTATTTGTATAAGCACTTTTTAAATTACATATGTAAATAATCTACACTTTTTAAATAATAATCACGAGTCGCATTCTGAGGCGTATCCAGATATCAAACAAAAATGACATAATGTACAAAATTCCAATGTTTTAAAAAACGAATGAAGCAAAATACCTACATTCAGGCAATCGCTGTACATAATTCAATCATAGGTGATCTCGTCTGTGTTCAAAATTACAATATTCTTACTCTATGCAAACATAGAAAGTTACAACTCACACTGCTTGCAGTTTATTTCGCTCTTTCTTTTCTAGGTTCCGACGTATTTCCTTTTCATTCACTCTCCACTCACTCTTAAGTACTGATCCCTGTGTGATGTTTCGTAGGTACTTTGCCACTTTTTTTTTTAGTTTAACTCTACTGCATTTTAGTATGGATTTTTAAAGGATTTGGAGACAAAAACTTTTTCATTCGTCGTTGAAGGGTTGTAATTAAAATAACTGTTGAAGTGTATGTTGTAATAGGTCTGTATTTTTTTGTAATTATAATGTTTAGTCATATGTCTTAAAAAAAATTAAAACAAATTAGTACGATTGTTACAAAAGTTTTACGACACCATATGACGTAGAGCTTCCAAGTTCAGGCACGGATCGATTTTCAACAAATTGTTGATACACATGAGATTAAGTTTCCACGAATTCGTTACAACATATTTTTTTAAATAAGTCAAAGCCTTAACATCGAAGACAAAACTTCAGATAGTAATGCAAGTTTTATTTAGTAAGTATATAAGTTTTAGTTAGTATTTCGATGGCATCGATAATTTTATTCAGTCTTTTTTTCTTTCGACTTCTTTTTATTGACCCGTCAAAGTCTATGCTGTACAAGGGCCACTCCTGTGATCATCTTTACCTTTCAAGTCACGCTTGGTATGAAAATTGACGCTTACAATGCCTGACGTCTCGCACCTTTAACGCTGGCCATCGTGGATTTAAGCATTTTACGTCTGATGAAAACGAGATGGTAACAAATCTTATAGCTTTATATTAATTTTCTGAAATTACCCATAGACGTCTCTTAGGATACCTGCAGCCGCAATCACACGGCATGACAGTAAGATGATGTGAACTGGCAGTTAGTACTTTAGGAGATACAAACGTCATACCATAACACGACGTAACCAGGATCGGATTTCGTAGTACAATTATTATCCTAATTGTACCATTATTTGATAGTTTGTAGTATATAGTATCGTAATAATACTAAGCGAAAATACCATAATTTATCTAAATGTCGACTTGTATTATTATTGGGTCCTTTTACTTTTTAATATTAACCCTACGATATCGAGAATTTCTGTATTGTACATGAGTACCGCGTTTTTTTTTTAAATAAAATTATAATTAGCTCCCTTTCTTATTAATCGGTGCTCGATCGATGCATATATGTTGCATCCTTGATACAACTATAATGCGTGGCTACCACGATAAAAACTCTAAGCTCTAAGCAATCGGTTTGAAAACAGAATTTCAAAATATTTTATGAATCAGATTTTCAGATTCAATTAAGTAGATATGGCTTCTTTTGTACTCTTTTCATTTTACCTTTATTGAATATAAAATATATTAGGTACCAATATTCAAAACTTAACTTACACTAAGTTCTTCAGACAAAAATCAAACAGAAATAAAAATAAAACCGGCAAAAAACGAAACGTATAGATAAACTAGACGTGTGACGCCAAAATCCCGGCACATGGGAAAGAAGAAACATGAAACTTTAAACGGGATATAATTTTTGAAAAATAGTATGGCTAATTTTATTTTCCATGTACAATATTTTTGAGGGTCTGAATCCAGCCCTGGCCTAATCTTGGTAACGTAACTAAACTAACTGTAAAATAAAACTTTAAAAATGCTTTTATATAATAATTTAATGTTAACAAAATGAATATAAGGTTATTTTACAGATGATACGATATCCCATGTTCCTATTTATTACTTGTATCGTAATTTTTGCACTCTTTTACCACGCAACTACACATATTTACGACAGGCAAATCTGTCCTGCGCGCGCACTACTGTCGACCGATTCGCGTTGACCCTAAACTGTAATTTTAGGGCCAACGAACTGGTCCGTTTTGGTTGTTTGGTCGGCCCGGTCCTTACGCTAGTAATATATGTCAATGAGGCTTCCTCGTAGATTGTCTCATACGGTGATATCTTACAGAGTTGTCGCACTTGGTAGGCGAGTCGGCAATCGCTGTTTTTTTATTATTATTGAGTTGTTATCAGGAAGGTGCTGCTTAATTCCTCCTTTTTTAGTTTTCCTCTGTTGCCTATTACGATTACGGGATAATATCGGCCAGTGGATTCTCTTACGGTGCCATTGCTTAGCTGGTTTAAGGACTGTTCACGTACTAAATGATGATAATAGAAAATGTAATAATTTGATTTCTGTACTGGGATGATTAAAAAAAAACTTTTCGTTACGATCGGAGACGCTTGCAATTAATCTGGAACCACAATGAAACTAGAAAAGTGTAATGACGATTTGAGGATTACCTCTTTTTTGTAATTCGTTTTATTTATCGATTTGCGGTAGAATTTGCGACAGCGAGACCAATAAAATTATGAGATAATTTGCTGAAATAGGTAACATCTATTTCATTTTTTATTTTACACTAAAATGCGTTAAAATGCACTAAAAAGGCCTTAGTAGAAAACGTAACACTCGACCGGGGAAGGACCACGCTCTCACAGAGTACCAGCGTTAAATCGCAGCTACTGTTTCTTAAAGTGAGTGTATAGAACCGGATAATATTTTAAATGAAAACGAGACATTCTATTTTAGTCCTCGGGGGTGAAAAGGCACCTGTATTTTGTTTCTTAATCGAAGATAGATGAAGATGTCTATGAACCACAGCATTAACTCACCATCACTGTGTGCTCGTTTGTCATCCATTTTTATAAAACTTTATATGATTTATTCACAGTTAAACTGTTTTGCCACTTACTTTTAATTCCAAGATGTGAAAAGAAGATGTAAAATTGTAAAAAAAATTGAAGAACACCTACAAAACAGACTCTTTTCACAAAATGTTTTATTAAAATATTAAATTACAACACGAACTAGAGGATTTATCTCGAGATAAATCCTGGAAACTCATTTCCGTTTACGATAACCCTCACGCACACTATCTCTGTATCATTGGTTGACCTGACGCACACTTACAAAACGGTACATAGACACGTACACAAGGGTACACTTTCATTGCTATAAACTCACACAGACACAAAGACAGGAATAACCGATTTTCAACCCTATAGCCGTGATTTTCTCCGCAATGTGTTCTACATTTACCGATCCGCGAGATAACCTCAAAATTTGAGTTTGAGATTGAAATAAACGGTGTTATCTAGTGTTGCTGATCTGGTGGTTATGTAACTTACAGTCCCTTTACCTGGTGTTTTTGTGAGATGTGGTAATTACAGCTAAAAGTGGGCGTGAATGTTCGCCGAATTTCGTATGATTTTCATGATATTATTCAGTTGTGAGTCGCGGCTGTGTCGTGCTTCATAGGGAAAATGCTGCGTGACGATTTATTGCACGGTATTTTATGATATCGTACGGTTTGCGCGAGTGGTTGGATGGTGTGGGAGTGTGCTGTTAAATAGAAATGCACGTAAGTTTTTCGTTAATTTTGTTAGAATCGTAAGGGCGTAATTAACTTCTGATTTGACACGTGCTTATTATTTAATATTTACTCAAATTTCTATAAAAAAAAAATAAACTCACACATGTGAGTTTATCGTTTAGTTTGTACAATGCCTCATTCAAGAACTGACTGCATGCCTTACGCTCTTATTTATAATAAGAACTCCAATTGCCCGTTATACTTTAAGAAATATCAGGGAGCTTTAAAATATAACACTACTAAGTATATTCCATAAAATACATAGTTAATATTTATTAATTTTATTTTCCTTCCCCAATATTTAAGAAGTTGCTCATTTAAGAAGTTAGCTCGTTTACCCAGCCAAAAAGATTTTTTCGCAATAAGTCACAAAGTTAACTCAAGTTTTAAAATTCATAACTGCTACGACTTTGTAATTTCTGTTCCATTAATTTTTAAATAATATTTATAAAAAATCCTGATTAAAGCCCTAACATTTTTAAAGTAACGAGGTCATATAGTAGAGTTCTGTATAGATAGTAACATTTCCTGTAATTTTTTCCCTAGAATAAATAAATAACTAATTAGTAGGAAACACAAGTGGTAAAATTTAAATTTTGTGTACAACTGACATAAATGTAAATAAAATGAGAACATCATCAATGTATTCAAAGTCGATTAAATACGCATTATTAAGGATAACTTAAAAACAATTGATCAGATTTTGAGCAAATTTATATAGGACCGCATGAGAAGCACTAGCTTTCAAATAAAAAAAGGATCATCAAGATAGTTATTCATCAAGAAAAAAGTTCTAGGGTAATACACAAAAAGATACAATCGAATTGAGCACATTCTCCTATTTTTGAAGTCGGTTGAAAATCAATAGTAGTCTTATAAATGAATAAGTTCAATTAAGAGAGCAATTGACGTATTGGGGGGGAAATAGGGTGGCGTCAGTACACCAGTTGAATGCAGTACGACATTGACCCATATTTATACGATCCTATGAAAACTAGGGATGGGCACGATACTTTTTATGGGTTTCAAGAAGAAAATACTATGTGAAAAAAATAGCAATGTACTTTCATCATTAATTGATACGTAATATTTGTTTAATAAATTAATTAATAAATTATAAATATAATAAGTTTCCTCAGAGTTGATTTGACTTAAAAATTGTAATACCATTACGCAATTTTTACGAAATCCTCAGAAGGAGTACCTATAATATTTTGCGAGTATATTTATCTGATGCTTTCTGCCTGCTGTAGCCTAGCTAACGAATCTCGCTCTTCAAAAACCTTCATATTTATAAGGAAAAGTTCATCTTTTTCTCTACCGGTTTCATTTTTGAGGTTAAAGTTAACCTTTATAATAGTAATACCAACACCAGTAGGTACTATACCAGTAATTGATATACCAGTCAATTGATGCAGTGGCGCTATATCTATCGTCGTTTAAGAACGAAAATGTAACACAGCAGTACTATGCGTTATTTATTCATATAAGTAACGAGGTGTTTTTGAAGAAATTATTCCAAATAATAAGGTAGGTGTAACCTTCGACGCGATAACATTTTTAATAGGCCTGCATTATTAAGAAAAGGAGTAACATGCGTACGTGGTGGTATGTGAAAGCAGAACCTCGCACATGCATTTTGTACACGCTGTAAGTCTCTGAGTGGTCTGAAGTTATGTGAGAACGCAGTCCTCCTACCGAGTGGCCTCTGTCCTCCTGCCGCCATGTTGTATTGTATATGATGTTAGTCTGTTCCATTCCAAATTTAAAATGTATAATTACTTATATCATTTAAAATGTACGGTTTTATTCACTGCATAAGTCTTTATTTAAATAATTTATTATAACTAATTACATTTATGCACTATTATTTTTATTATACCTACAATATAAAATGATATTATTTTTAGTCAAAGTTATTTTTAGTCTCAAAATTTTATTCATTTATGTAGACTATAAAAATATTTAAAAAAAGTTAACATTTAAAGTAAAGTGATTTTAAATTTAACTTTATATTAAAACCAAGACCTAAACTTCATGATAATTTTGGACATCCCTGTCGCTGTCGCCGGTAAGATTTGTCACGCCTTTATTCGGGAGAATAAATGTAAATATTGTATAGGCCACGTATTGTAGGTATAGATGTTTCTTTGTAAATATAGACCGACGACTTACGTCACTAAATCTAATCTATATGAAAATTTATATTTGTTTGTTTGTATTTCATGCGCTGCTATACCGTTCATCCGAAAATTAATTTATTGTATTTAAAATTTTATCCACGTAATATTGATTGCACTTCCGCGAAGGTTATAGGCATAGTTGGACCCGGTAGGTGGCGCTGTTGTAGAATTCAGATATCACCCGCGCGAAGCCGGGGCAGATCGCTAGACCTCTTTACTAGATGTCGGACATCTTTACTATATGTTAAATAGAAAGACATATATAAAGATAATTAATAATTAAGTAATCCATTAGTCAACTATTTTATGTAAGGTTCTTATTTCTTTTCTCGCTTTTCTTTATTCTTAAATTGCATAGTCCTAGGACATTAATGAACACCTTTAAAAAGTTTAATTAAAATATTATTTTATATATTGAAATCTTCAATTTTTGCTGATTATGAAACAAACAAAACTAGTTAGAGCTCGCCGGCAACACAGATATTCGTAGACACGTCTTTAGGTAAGAAAGTACTAGTAAACGAAAATGAAGAAACTAAAATATTTCGAGAATGATGTCCGTCAACAATAGAGCACAGGTGCAGAGTAGCCAGCCTCTCAGTGTTCTATAGGATTCATTTCGGTGAATGTGCGCAGGAATTACGCGCTTTAATTCCTCTCTTTCCTTTGCACTATCGGACGACCAGACGGTCGGCGGGTCAAACTAAGATGTGTAATCTTTGTTGTCGATATTCCATAGAACCAAACGGTTTGCTTGTTAACTTTAAATTTTGTAAAACGTAAAGCAAAGAAGTGGAATAATTCGCCGGCGTCTATTTTTCCGTCCGAAATGCGATTCACAATCTAGTAATAATAAATAAATCGGTACTTGCCATCAGGTTGGATTATGGTCAACAGGCTTATAATAAGTAATAAAAAAACACGCATTTGGGCAGAATGACAGAGAAAGGGGAGGAGGTTATTTCAATGTAATAACTGTGTCCAGCAGTTATTACATTGAACTAGGACGAGAGAGACACACACTTTGCTTAAAGTGTACACCTACTAGGTATATCCTGCGCCATTGATGGCTGACGATCACTCGAAAGTGGATGCCGTGATCAAAAATCGGCTAGGATGTCATCATATTATTTTAATATAAATTAGCTATCTTTTTTGAGAGAACATTATTTTATCGTGCCTATATAAAAGCTATTATGGTACTGCAATCCGTTATATCTTGTAAAGGCCAATAATTTCGTTCGAGGCCGCCCTCGACGTCTAATTATAAAAACTCACAGTTTGTCAGTCAGTCAGGTCTAGCCATCTTCGAGAAACGCCTTTAACTAGTGAAAATTTGTATTATTAAGGTTTATTTCAAATACAGGATACTGGAACACAACCACGCACATTTTCAAGCAATTCCTAAAACATTTGAGAGATGGCGCTTGTTTGAAATTGCAATATTATGTAAATATCACGACATTATGTGAGAAAAGGAACGAGAGGCACTTAACAAATACTGTATAAAATAATAAAAAATTTGATTACAGCACGCGTGCAGTTCTATGTTTTTTAAAAGTATTAGAGGAAAAATTTCATCAAACCATGCAAGCAGAACAGAAGAAGAACTGGCATAGCCTGACTGACCAGTTATCTGAAAAACTGTAAGCGGTAGAGCCAAGTCGGCTCGACAGAGGGAGAACAACGCTCTCACAGAACGCTAGCGTTAAATAGCAGCTTAGTGCTGCTGTGTTTCGTATGGTGAGTTTATAGAACGGGATACCCTATTTACTGGCATTCTGTAAATTTTTAGGCGACAGCAGATATTCTTTAATAAAATAAGGTTGACCAACGAACACACAGTCCACCTGATGGTTGGTGGATACTGTGGCCCATAGACATCTACATCTACCCTCGGTTAAGAATCAAATGTAGATGCGTTGTCACTGAGCACTGAGATGGAATACCCCGATTCTAGTCAAAAAGGTCTCCAGTTCACTTCACTCACCATACGAAACACAGCAGCATTAAGCTGCTGTTTTACGCTTGTATTCTGAGAGAGCGTGATTCTTCCCCGTTCGAGCCGAGCCATTCGTGCTACCACCACAATAAGCGTCGCGGCTCTACAGCGCGTATTACTCGAATACTACTACTATTTTATCATTAAGATAAACAAAGCGGCCGCGGACGTGTTGTGTGGCTCTGGCCATTTTCTGCGAGGATAAGATAAAATATCATCACGCACGCTATTGTAGTGCGGGACATCTGATAGCGTGAGAATTAAACACGCGTCCCGATGTAATGGAGAGTGCGGCGTATTGTTGCTTTAGTCCCTTCTCACTTCCATCATTAGGAATCCATCTGATTATTGCTAGCCAAACAAAGGAAGAAAGCGCTTTGTGAGCCGAAAGAAATCAAAACACAAATATGTAGTTACATATTTCTAACTATGATATTATGGTATGAATATAAAAAAAAACTCCAATAAATTAATGTATTTGTGTAACGGCTAATGTTTGTTTAAAACATAAAGTTTATACTTGGGTTTTGTTTTGATGATAGGTATAGATCTTTTTTCGTGGTAATAAGCTTATGTTTATATTATATTATATTTACCCCAAAAACCATATTATAGCATGGTTGCCAATGTGTTAGTAGTGTGTAATTTTAGTTTTTGTAAAACTAGGTGTTATATAAAATGTTTTTTTTGCACACAATCCATCGGATGATAAGTGGATGCAGCGCAGAGCAGTTCGAATCGTCGGCGACCGAGCTCATTCCGATTGGCTTGACTCACTGGCACTGCAAAGAGATGTTGCATCT